GGTGTTATTTTTGTTTATTGTTAAAAAAACAAGAAAACATCATTTCTTGTGTTAAAATGAATACCTGAAATATTTCATGGCATACTTAAAGAAGATATACAAAACTGTTTTATTTTGATTGTTTTAAAATAAATTAGTATTATAGTTAATATTTTCTGATTTTCATAGTATGTGAATAAATTCCGGTATTTTTACCATAAAGTGACATATCAACCATTTGGTAGAGGCCAATATTTGACCACTAAGGTCCAATGGACCTTAATTGCATCAGCATAGCTGTGATAGGCAATTTGGTTCTTTCTCATTATTTGACTTAATAGGAGCATATGCAGGCTAAACAAGAGCGGTGCAAGAATTGAGCCTTGTGGGACTCCGCGTGTCATGGATGTCCACTTAGACTTATGCTCTCCTATACTCACATAATAACCTCTCCCTTCTAAGTATGACCTGTAGGGTTCCAGCACCTTCTGTGAATATCTGTGAGTTTCTTTTCACAACTGTAATTAATCTATCCAGCAAGTATATCCCCAATAATAACATTAATATTTAATCATCTATAGGGACCCCCAAGAACTTCCTCATGGCACATTGTTCACATTTACTAAAAAAAATAAAATAAAATAAAAATAAATAAAAAATAAGAAGAAATCAGTTTAAATTGTCTCTGGTTTTCTTTTCTGAGAAATCTGTGTGTAGACCAGTAATAATGTTATATGATCAATAATAATGAGAGAAGGACACCATAATTATCTTTAAGTTTAAAAATATATATATTTATTAAAAATCTTCATCATCTGCAAAATACTGCAGAGAGGGAGGAAAAAGAACATTACCAAAACAGTGGCAGCTACACTTGAGTTTAAGATGCTACATCTAATACTCCCATTACATCTTCTGGATCCTCCTGAGGAGGCAAAATGGGAAGAGGAGGAGGGGGAGGTGGATGAGGGGGGAAAAGAGGAGGAAGATTGGGGCCCTGCTGGATCCACTCGTCAGCGGAGGAGGTGTGCTCACTGTCCTGCAGAACAACACAACTCAACAGATTGTCAAA